GGATTTCGAAACTAATGTATATACATATATTGTTGTCGTTTTAAAAAAAAACTCAGGTGCTTTAATTAATTTTTGGTTGTGTTTTATGGGCTTGAAATATATTATATGTGCAAGTATAGTAGAAAAGGGAATAAAATAATAAAAACTGACCAAAAATTTGTCCGAGTATGTTATTATTTTTAGTTTATTATTGCATATAGGAACGTATGCATTTTATTGTTATTGGCATGTTAAAAGTATATAAATTTTATATAAATTAAAAATTTAGAATAGATTGTAAGGGAAGTTTTAGAAAAAAAAATTATTTTTGTATATTTTGTATTTATGTGTACTTGTATAAATTAATTTTTAGTACTTTTTGTTTCAATTAACAAATTTATTATAGAATTTAAAGGAACTACGCTTAAGCAATCCTTGTTGTATGATAAAAACTGCAGTTGCTCATATCTTCGGATTCTTTTGTTATGGAAATTGTAGAATTTTGTATAAGCAATACTAATGTAAACAATTGCTTTATTTAAAGATTGTTAGCCATTTCATGGCATTTTTGTTCGAACTTCTTCTTTAATGAAAATTACTTTAACTTACTTAATTATTAAGAATCCTTTATTAAAAAATTTTCGAATTAAAGGAAAATTTGTAATATTTTAACAAAAATAATCATAAATTTTAGACTAAATATGCAAAAAATGCTTATTAATCTAGATTCTTTCAATAGGAATGCACTCAAATTTTAGAAATTCGCGAGACATCGTTCATTTGTATCATTTTAAACATATCCAAAACTTCATTCAATATTATTCATTTATTAATTTGTCTGTAAACCTTGAGATTTTTACAACAGATTTATACACAATTCTTTAATAAAAAATTATAAAAGATTAATAGAAATTTAATAAAAAAATCATTTTGAAAATTCAAATTTATTTATCTATGAAAAACCTATGAAAATTTATTAATAAATTTCTATAAAAAAAATGAAAAGAAAATGATTAGGTCTGAAGTTTATGATAAAAATATTTCAAAATTTTCATTATATCATTTTATAAATAAACAATATAAACAAAAATCACCAACACTAGAAAAAATTAAAAAATTTTTGTTTTAATAAAATTGAAATTCTTAGACCGGAAATAAGGGAAAAATAAAATAAAAGTTATCATAATTTGTCACATAAGCAGTCTATTATTTTATTATTATTTGTCCTCCATATATTCCAAAATATTTTTTATTTCACATCCTGAACTTTTCTATCCTTATTTTTTAAATATGCTAAAGATTTTTGCGGTATAATAAAATTGATTATTTGTGTATAATAAATTTAAATAAAAATCAATTTAGCCGAAATTCGGATACAAAGAAACTGTAATGTCTCGCTAAAAATATTTTCTTCGTTTTTACACACAAATGTATTTCCGTTAAAAAGTTGTCATATTATGTCAGATTTGATATGATCAAAGTGTGCTCCTTATGTGATGCAATAATGTTTACAAAAATATATTAAATTTTTTCTAGTGATTTGACTACATATTTCTTTTTATTCTTATAAAGTTTTTCTGCCAAAATGGATGGGAATTTTCTTAATTTTTTAATTTTATTTAAAATTCTTGTATGTACTTCTAAACCTAAGAGTGTTGAAATTGAACAAATATCAGAAAATTCACAAAACTGTCTTAAATACAAGTAAAAAATTTGATTGTATTCACATAATTTTTTTAAAAAATAAATTTTCTTTAAGTTGCACAGACTAACTATTTTTCACATACTTATATATGTAACAATTAAAAAAAAAATAAAAAATAATAAAAAAAAAATTTGTTTAATTTTTGTTTTTGCTACATTCTACAATAAAAACGAATTATAAGTAGCCTTAATATTTTTAAAAGTTCATGCAATCAAACGCGGCAACATCGGTTTATTATTAATAAAAATTTACGACGCATATAATTTTACCATCGCTCTCTCTATGTTCTACATACATACCATAATTTACGTTTAAAAGTTGATAATAACACGCAATTTTCTCTTTTAACAGGATATGATTTTGTTTTTTATATAAAAAACAAAAAGAGCATATAAAATTAAAAGGGCTAACAAAAAGAACAATTTCTAAAACATGAAAAATAAAATATCCTTTTAATACTTTAAGAAAAGACAGAACAAAATTAATTCTAAAGTAAAATTCGTAAAACAAGGATTTAATCAATATACTTATATACAAAATTTAGCGTTCCATATTATCAGTGTGAGAAGATATTAAGGAAAATTAAGATTTCATTGCTGAATACACTACATTTAAAACAAGATTAAATTCAAATATGTATCTATAATGTATAACTCCTATGTAATATAAGCAATTACCAAATTTTTAATAGACTAGAGACCAACCCAATTTTTCAATTTCCAAACCACAAAAATTCAACAAGCTTCCTTTTATGTAGTTGTTTAATGACAAAAGAAAAGGTGAAAAAAACCGATATGACAAAAGAACCTATAAAAATTTCATTTAAATATTTGACCATTACACAAAGTTTTTTCTGTTTTTTTTGCTTTTATTATAATTGCAGATGGCGTGGATATTAAACTCACCTTCACCATTTAAGTTCAATATAGAATATTAAATTTTAGCAGTAATATTAAAAAATAAACAAAAGAATGTAGTGCCATATTACAAGATTAGGTCAACATCAGTCTTATCACCATTAAATTTTTATCGATAGTAGGTGCTACCATTTTATATGTGTATATATATTTGTATATATCCCTATCTTAAATTATTGTTCTTTACCTCGCACTGATTTCATATCTTTTATTTTTTTTTAACCTGTCCTTTTTATATACATATATTTTAAAATGTTTTTTTTTTTTTGAAATATTTCTAGATGGCGGTATAGGGGGAGATTTCCTTTCCGAATTGTATAAAAATGAGAATATTAAATTTAAGGGTCTATGAACTTTTTGGTCTCACCTGTTTCATTATATTAATGTAATTGCGTATAGACTTCCTATACGTACAGAGTGATTCGGTTTAACTAAACTGCTATATATAATGTTCACAGCCCAACAGGATCCATTAGTTACCGATCAAAAATCTTTCCTTATATTTTTACAATTTCAAAATTTGGAAATATAAAGAAAGATTTATGAAAAGTTCTTATTTATGAGGTTTCTAAATATCATATTATGCGTCTATATGACACACGGAAGAACTTATACTTAAAATTTCAAAAAGTAAGAAAAGAAAGTTAAGGAAGTTTGGTTTTAAGTTCCTGTAAATCAAAATCAAGGTATACATAACGGTAATTATAGCCGTGTACTTAGAAACGGGATACTCTGTACATTATACATATTTTCCAATTTCATTTTGGTTTTGGTTTGCAATGTTTTTATATACATATAACGTATATGTATTTATAATATTGTGTATCAATAAAATCATATTTATTTTTAAAACAAATGGTTTCGTTACACTGTCCTTTAAGCTGTAGTACGTTCCTTTTTTTATCTAGGTCGGTTATACAAAAAAAGCAAAGTAAAAAAATATTCGTTTCGTGTTTCTGTCTCTTCGATATACTTCCCTTCTTTTCCTTTTTTTTTTGATAAATTTAGCGGAAAAATTACCGTTTTTTGAATGCTTTTCTTTAGTTTGTAACACAATTTAACGCTAAAAAAGAAAATCGATAAAAGAAATTAAATTTCGAAGTAAGATGTTTATATATAATAGTCTTATTTCTCAAAAATATATGTCATACTGTTTTAGGCAACTGAAAATGTAATACAACAACTATTAATAAATTTATTTTAAAGGAATTGAAAGTGGTAAATTTAAACGCTACATAGATGAATTAAAGTACCAAATTAGAATTTAAAAACAGATTTAGTGTAACAAAAGCAAATATAAAAGAAACTTTTAGAAACATTTTATATTTTAATATAAAAATGAACTCGTTATATTAAAATGTTGCACAAAAGCATTAAAACTAAAAAGTTATTAAATCTTTCTTTCACTACTTTTCTAAGACGCCTGAGTTTCTGATGATTAGCGCAAAGGAACCTATATATTATACTTGATTCCTCTTATCTTTTGAAAAATAAGTAAAAATTTTCTTTTATACAATAAAAAGTTTCTAATAGAAATCTATTTGTTCACAAAATTTTAATTTTCTATCTTAAAGGGTGCAGAAATTTTGTAAAAAGACACATGAATGCACGGACGGGCAGAAATGCTAAAAATTAAAAGAAAAATATTTTCTTCCTAATAAGACAGTAAATGTACATACATATATACGTTAAAATCTATATAATAATTTAAATTTAATTTTAAATTTCTCTTTATGACGTTACCGTTAAGAAATACAAAGATCTATTGTGAATTGTTCGAACACATTTTATATTTTATTGTTCTTATATTTTTTTTTTATCAAAATATTATTACAATCATGTTTTATTCATACAAAATTTTGTTTGAATCAAACCAAGGTATCAAACAAAATACAACAAAATTGGTATTATGCTAATCATATATGTATATACATAAAATACATAAATGTATATAAATATAAATTATAAATAAAATATAATCAGCAGATATTTTAATAGAAGAGCATTCATGTAAAATGACATCATGTTCGCAGTAAAAGAAAAATATTAGCAACAAAAATTATACTACACTAATAATACATACATACATATGTATATACACATTTCTTTTAATATAAAGGTAAAATAATTACACAAACATCGATACATCTACTATATAAATAATATAAATCGTATTTTTTTTTTTTTTTGAGTTATTTTTATTTTATGTTATTCTGTACTGTCTGTAGTGCTGTGCAGACGAAGAAGAAGAATAAAAATCAAATAAGAAAAATTTATTGTTGTATGTTTGCATTGCCATTTGGTTTTTGGTTTGATGAAAATATAATATGTTTGAAAAGCAGGAAAAATTTCAGTAACAGTAAAATATATTTTAAAAATATCAACTAGTTGCAGATAATATTTGAACGAGTTCGGATGTTCATTAATATTCGGTAATTTATATTATTGCGGAATTTCAATTTTTTTTTATTTTTGAAACGATTACCATTAGTAATCATAATAAAAATTAATGTCATAATTTAAATTTAGAATAATTACCTATTGTATATTAAAAAAAAAAAATTGTGTAATTTTTAACAATTAGTATTTTTAATAGCTGCTCTTTTGAAATAATTTTTCTTTTAATATGAATTTTATTTTAAAAACAAATGGAAAAAATGAGAACATTTTTTTTTTGCGCCAAAAATAAATTTCTGATGCATTTGAAATTATTTTAAATTTTGTTTTATTCTCAGTACAATATTATTGTGTTATTTTATTTTAGTTTTACATTTTATATTTTAAAATTTTACAAAAAAAATAATATTATTACATATAAATTACAAAATATAATGAAAAATAATGAAAATTTAATAAACTGTTGATAGTTGAACTTTAAAAATGAATTTGAAATTATTTTTAAAAAATATTTTAACATATTTTTCTGTTTCTGTTATTTTTGTAACATAAAAATATATTTTTAGAATTTGATTTTTATTTTTAATTTTTATTTTAATTTTCTTTGGCTAAATATTTTTTTTATAATCAAATAAATAAATAAATAAAATAAATGCTACTATAAATTTATTTAAAAAAAAATTATTTTTTTTTCTTAAATTTTAAAATTTTTTTTTAGGTTATTTTTTATTTAAATTATGCTGAAAAGTGTATAAAATCAATGAAATTTTTTTTTTTAAAAATATTTTTTTAAATTATTAATTTTAATAAGTGTTAATAATATTAATAAAAATATATATATTTGTATTTCTGGGTATTATGTAATTTTAGAAATATAACATCAATTATACAATTTAGATGTCAATTCGAATTGGATTAAATTTTTAATGCGATAATAAAAACAAGAGAAAAAAAATTTGTATTTCAGCGAATTTAAAAAAAACTAAAATACAATAATTTTTTTGTGGATTAATTGTATATAATAAATTTATTTTCGTATAAAGGATATTATAATTACTGTACAGAATTACTTAACTTTTAAGGTAAGTAAAATTATATAGGATTAGCTTAAGAACAATTAGAAATAAATGTATATATGTAGCTTTATTAAGAAAATATTAGAATTCATTGAATTTAAATGATACTATCTTAATTAAATTAAAAAATCCACCTTATAGAGACATTGCTTGGGTTCAATTTAGCCTTTGCTAAAAATTGACTACATAATATCGTCGATTAAAAGGCAGAGAGCACTAAGTGCATTTTTTGAGAATTCGGATTTCATAGATGAATTAAATCAGAATAATATAATCTTTGTTTTGGCGAAAAATCATGCAAATCCAGAATATAGTTTATAAATCTAGAAATTAAAGAGACCAATCCCATTGCACTAATTGATTAGTTTTACAATTTTACGATTTTTTCAAATTGAATTTACTTAAAACACAGTTTCTTGACTTAATGATTTCTGCTTCTTAACCGACGATATACAGTACTGAACAGTATACTGAATACCGTATCCATTATTGAATACTTTATACCATTTTTATTCCTTTTTGAAAATATTTGAACATAATATTAATTTGACTTATTCATGGCAATAATATACAATTGTAATGTTGTTAAATGAGTTAAATATAGGGTTGGTTACGAGGTATATGAATTTTGTGATTTCAATATTTCAACGAGACTTCAACATTAAATTAAATAACCAAATGATTTTCATCAATGAATTTGAGGAGGCCTATACAATTACTTCCTATAAAACTTATTTTAATTCAATAAATTAAAAACACAAGATTTAAATGTTTTCTTTTAAGAAAAGTATCACATTTTCAATTTTATTCATTATTTTTGTATTTCCGTTTGCGTGAAATTATGTAGCATTGTTTACTTTTGTACTAAAAATAAATAAATATTATATTAATAACAATATATTGGGATATGGGAATTAATCATCCTATATAAAATTATATAATTGCGAAATGTGTTGATAAACAATATTAATTCTTTAGTTACATAAAATTCTTCTAATTATAAGTATAGTTCAATTGAGTATTATGATAAAATATACTTGCCAAGCCAATATGAACATACAACAAATTTATTTCCTTCTTGTGTATATACATTTGTATATATGTATACACACATCCGTATACGTGTTTAAAAAAAATGTTATAGAATTATAACAGATTAAGTTCGTGTGTACGTATAGATTTATACATATGTATGTATAAAAATACCGAATTTTCGATAAAATTATGAAAAGTATAAATAATAAGTAATTAATATAAATAAAAAATTCCAGAATCGCCACGTAGGTATATGTATATGTATAATCTTATGTGAACGATCGTTTATAATGTGCATGTGAATATGAAACTCAAAAAAATAATAATAATACCAAAGCTTGAGCCTATAAATTTTTTAATTAATTTTACGTAATTTTAAAATTCTGGTATACTTAGCAAATATCTGCAGATGAAGGTGAGAAACCACAAATCTATATCCAGCCTGAAACTTAATTTTCCTTTGAATTTGTGAAATTTTTGAAAAGTATATCCTTTTTTAATATTTATTCCATATAAAAATGTAAAGGTGATGTTTTGCTATTATTATTATCGAAAAATCGTATACAAACTTGTATAAAATTAATTACGGTTCCACATTATAGACAAAACATAAATATTAATCAATCATATTATTTATTAATAGCTATAATCTAGCTAATCGATATTTTACTAATTATACTTATGTTAATTTAATTCATATTGAATTTGTCTGTGTATGTATATGGTAATTTCTATTCATGAATACTATAGTTAAATATAAAAATTTATTGATTTAAGCTATAATTATCTCTTAATATTCTTGTATACATATAAACAAATTGCTTTCATGAATTAGAATTACACATTAATGATAATCTATTCATATATAACATAAATATAACAACAATTACTGTACAAAAAATTTTTTTATTCATTACAAAAACAGAATTAATTTTTACATTGTAATGCAATTGTTTATTATTTTTCTGTTAAAATTTTGTAATTTGATTTGTATATTTTTTTATAGCATTGTTTATATATTTTTACTCAAATTACAAATCACGTTTTCAAGAAATTATAATAAATTTCACAAGATGAAAATTTTTTATTAATTTACCGGTTAAACGGTAAGAATTTGAAAATTCCTAGAAATATAATATAGAAGGGCTTATAAACAAACTTGCAAAAGTGGTTATTAAAATGGATCGTAATCAAATTTCAACAAATTTAATCTTTGTTTGAAAAAACCACAATTGTTTCAAATTTTAATAAGTAATTTTTCTACTAAATTTTTATTGCACATGACTAATAGATTCCTAAAATTATTTTAAATTAGAAATATGTATTGAACTTTTACCGGGGGGGGACTTTCCTTTATTGTATACATATGGAGGTTATGCCCTTTTTGCCGAATTCATAAAGAGTAGCTAGTAACTTTTAGATTAAAATATTCAAATAGTTTATTTTGGATCTGTACAAATAGTCTATTTTGGATTGCGGTTCGTGTCCATGCTTATATTATTTTTAATAAATTATAACAAAAAAGTCAAAATTAATTGCTTTAAACATAGCAACGATAGTTTAAAGAAGAATTTAAAATTGTATTTCAGTTGCTAAATTTCATTTCTAAACTTTAAAATTATACGTACACATACCTACACACGTTTCGTTTCTCTTATAGTTTTCAAGTAATTAGGGTGCATTTTGCGTTGAAATATGTATATAAATCTCAATTTCGTTCTAAGCCTCCGTTTTGTTACTTATACACTTTCAATTCACATATAATTTTAATTTTCTTTCAATGAGGGCAGTAATTTATTTTTCGTCAATTAAAAATCGCTTTTTTCCTGAATTTATAATTTTGAAATTTTAATTACATATTAAGTTTTAATTAGAGAAATCGTAACAAATCTAATTTCATTTATTATTTATAATAATCAATCTAATATTAATAGCACAGTTATAGCATTACAGTGATACTTAATCATTATTGTGACTGTTTAATTAACAAATATATAAATTTTTTAATGATGCTCTTTCATGACCCATATATATACACGTATAACGTATAATATTAATAAGTATAGTTAAAAAATTTATTTTGAAATTAATAAGTCTTAAACTATATAAAAATTTATAACTAGAATAACGTCACAAGAAACTTATTCCATGAAATTACATACATATATGTATTAATAGACTGACAATTTATACGATACAAATTTATTTTTTCGTACTCATAATCTCGGATTATAAAAAAAATCTCAATGCATATATATTGCATGTATGTAAACAAAATTAATTAGTAATTATAAATCTACAGATATATGTATGTATACAAGGAGAGTCAGTAATGAGAGTACAATATTATAAGTAATGAGTATGTATATATAAATTTTAAAATAAGCTGGTTGACATGAAATGTATGTGTCTTGCTGATCAAGTGGATAACTCTCCGAAACGATAAACGTGGTGATAGTTCCCAGAAATGTCACCTACTTTTTAAAGTGGCTATTTTAATAACAAATTAATTAATATTGATAATAGCACTTAGAATTAATAAAAATCTAAAATAGTGACCAATTGTTTGAATTTCTACTTTTTATTAACGTCCTTAAAATCATGAAATACAAAAGATTTTTTTTTGCTGTATCTCCTGTATTATAAAGTATTTTTTTACTTTTGATGATTTCAATTAAAGCTTAAGGAACTAAGAAAAATTTTTTAAAAAAATTTTAAAGTTTCAAAAAATTTTCTAAGAAACTACCAGATTAGGGAGAACCTATAGGAGAAAATATGGGAAAATTTGATTTTTTCTAAAATTAAAATGCTTAATATTCCGAAGGTATGCAAAGTACTAAATAAAATGATAATTTGATTTCAAGCCCTAAAAATTTTTTTCAAACTCCTATCAAATTAGCTTAAGTCATAAGCTGAAGCAGGTGGGCAATTAAAAATTTGATCAAATATTGTCAAAATACCTGTAAAGTCGACCTGTAAGTGTCGAGCTTTGAAAGCACCTGTCAAAGAAAATTTCTTGCTCATTCTTGATTTTCTAAACGATGGTATATAATGTATACAATAGCATATAGTTATTACTGAATCACCCTGTATATTTATAATCTCCTTTGATTTATAAATGAATAAAAATAGGTTAAACCTAGCCTTTATATTTCGAAATCGGCATCTATAATTTTCATTATTATTTTTTATTTTTTCTTTAATTATCCTCAACACTTTCTTTAAGCATCTTATACAAAGAAAAACTGTATAATTTAAAGCTAATTTAAAAACACCCATTCATTTAATGAATATGTAATAATTTTAATTAGGTGCCAATGTGAAGGTGTCTACATACAAAATATCAAAGTTTTCTTTACAATTATAAAAATAAAAAAAAAAAATAAATCATGAAAATAATTATTCTATTATAAACACTTAAAACCAAAGAAAATAAATAAAAAAATATTCTAATTAGTTTTACTGCCGTTTCCTTAAAACAAGAAAAAAAAAAAAACAAAAAATTTTTCCTTAATAATGCGCTTCTACTACAAAAGTAAGTCTAAACAACAAAACCTTTGAAAAAAATTTCATTATTTATTTTTTAATATTTTCTTTTTTTTTTGGAATTACTCGTACAATTCCCCATTTTTTTTCTCTCCTTTTTTTAAATATAAGTCCATTGACTTTTCCCTCATTTTCATTATTTCTTTGTTGCAAAACTTATTTAGAATTATTTAAGTATAAGTTTGTATGCATAAAAGTATGTAGACTAAAAATATGTATATGTAAGTGTATGTATGTATATCTATATAGATTTCGTATTTTAATATGTATACAAAACAAAATGTAAACTATACCTCTTTCACGCTTTCTTTTAAATCAAAAATTATTCATATTTAGAAATTTTTTTTTTTTTTATTGTTGTTGTTTTTGTAATTCATAAATAAAAATTTCATCTCTTTTTTTAAAAAACCTTTAATCATCTTTTT